CCAGGTGGTGCCAGCCAAGTCCTGGCATGCTTGTGTCTCCGGAAAGCAGGCCCACCCTTGCAGCAGAGGACTGGCTGGCGCTGGCAAGTCTACAGCACCCTCAGCCAGCTCTGCGGCTTTAAGAACTGGAGCTCTGAGGTTGTGGGGAGGCGGGGAGTGGAGTGGGACGTCGCCCGCTGTACAGGCCACGTGAGCATCCAGGGCGGCAGGCCACGAACCGGAGAGGCTGGGGACAGTCCCGCCTTGCAGACCCGGGGGCTGCAGAACATCCTGGCCGCAGAAAGGAGGCCTTAGTGGCTTTGGGAGCGAAGCACGCGCCGCCAGGCCGCGGACACAAAGAGAGGAACTGTGTGTGGCTCTAGTTCCGACGCCCCAAACAAACAGTAAGTCCCAGGGGACAAGACACAGCACACCCCACCCTCCCACCACCCCCTCCGCCTCCCTCCGGTGCAAGGAGCCCCGACAAGGAGGGGCCAATCCTTCTTGACACCCCTTCTCTTTGGGACACGTCTCTTCCTCGCTGGAGAGTCCAGGCTGAGCCCTCAACAGGGGCGCTGGATGACTGAGGACCCCCTGGGAGTGGGCGGTGTTTCCCCTGGGACTGCCCCCTCCTGCTCAGGGACCAAGAGGGCAGGTAAAAGTGAAAGTGAAACCTACCAGGTCCCTGGCAGCCTTTGGGGCTCTGGGTCTGCCAGCTGAGAGCATGAGACCAAGGTGAAGTGCGGGGAAGGGTCAGAGTACTTAGTCTCCCAGCCGGCCACTCCGTCCAGGCATGCTGTTGGGGTGAGGGCCCTGCTGTCGTTCCTGACCCAAACACCTCCCAGTCGGGCGCCAGCCTCACGAATGTTCTCCTGCTTCAGCCCGCGCTGACATCGCTTCCGATTCTTCTTGTGGAGGGGGCCTCCCTCTTCCCGCGGGTCCTCGGATGGCCTCTCCCCGGGACTGGTCTCTCCTGACCACACGTCCAAAGTGCACGAGACCACGTCTCACCATCCTTGTTTCGAAGGAGCCTTCTGGCTGCACTTCCTCCAAGACAGACTTGTCCGTTCTTTGGGCCGCCCGCAGTACTTGTGTTATTCTTTGCCGACATCACATTTCAAATGGGTGGGGCAGAGGGGGTCGCCAGCGCTTGAGTGGATCCTCAGGAGTGACTTTGCAATTGTGGAAAATAAGACAGACAGACAGAGGAGCACGGGGGCTCTTTGTCCCTATGTCGGGACTGAGAGAGGGAATGTATTTTCCAATGGGTTACAGACCTTACCAAAAATGGGGCTTACAGATCTTTCAAAAGGTATCCCCATCATACGGCAAACATATTACATAGTCAATGAGTAATATCATAAGTGGGTAGCATAATAAATGGACAATGAGGTGGGTCATCATCTTGATCTAGTGCTAGTGGACCTCCTGCGCCCCTGAGCCCTCCCCAGGAGTACTAGTCTCTGATCAGTATCAGCAACAAGAGATGTCAAAACAGTTTGCCACATGTTTCAGTGGGTTGGCTATAGAACCTGATTGCTCCTATCTACCGACAACCTCCAGGCACAGAGGACAGCCAGATGCAGAAATGGTACATCCCTTAGGGTAGCTCCTTGTGGGGGATATTGGAGGGACTGTGCCTAGTCATGAGAGTATATACAGTATTAAGATTTATTTATGAACTAGAGGAATGTTTCCTCCCTGCTCCCACTACCATGACTCGAATTCGACTTTGCAAATCTGGCTAGACCAGAGGATGTACACTGGTACAGATAGGAACTGGAAATACAGGGAATCCAGGGCGGATGAGCCCTACAGGTCCAGTGGTGTGA